AGATGTAACCACCGCTATAGGGGCCTTGCCCGGTTCCGATCCCTCGACTTTGGTGAGCGCAATGGGTACCTCAAGCGACCCGCCTGGTTCTATCCCCTCGACTTGATGAGCATAATGGGTACCTCAAGGGTGTCGCACCCATAGATGCTCAGCAAAAGAGCATGGAGCTCCTGACCTTCTCATGCAGTCGAGGCAGCTCCAAGGCAAGGACGCTGCTACCGAGGTATGGCCGCCATGGCTGGAAGAGATCTCATCAAACTTTATGAACTGGCCAACCTGAGCAGCTGTAGGCGTGGAACCCTCCACCGACACGATCCTAAGCAACTTCCCCTTCGACAAGGCTCGCCCGGTGAAGATCCATCGGAGAAAATCCTCACACAGCTCCATCCCAAAAAAGGCCTCACAGATGAATCCAGCACGCCACCCCCTTCGGCGGAAGCCGCCCCTTTTTAGGCAAAGACGGCCAGCACCACCCTGGGTAGCCTCTAGCTCGACATCACACTCCGGATTCACAAAAGGATCTGTAAGTCCTCCCCCTCGCTCACCCCCTCTCTCACTTAGGAACCGCCGCGGCATACAGGCACTCTCGGTGAGGAGGAAGAAGGAGGAGAGACAATAGTTGGAGAACAGGCAAAGGACTGCAACGGAGAGCCCTCTCCCTCCCCCTATTTAAGGAAGAAACGCGACAGCCAAAGAGGGGCAAAAGATCAGAGCGAAAAACTCTCTCCCTTCCCCCATTCAATGCGGATGGGAAACGATGGGACACACCCTGACCGATGGGACGCACGCTGACCGATGGAATGACGCCTGGTCAGACAGAACATCGCCTGGTGAGACGAGACGTGGCCTGGGTATGGCCCACCACTATTGCATGACCGTGCATGAAAACTGAAGCGTCACCACATGTAGGTAGCTCTCCGTATCCCCACGCGGGACTTGAAAAACCCAAAACGGGATCTCCACCAGGAGAGACCATCGGGCTTCATAAGTCGATCGAACGGCTCAGAAAAACACACCGAGAGACAGGTAGGGAGCGAAGGGACGCCCCATATAGGCCATGCCAACTCCATCACGAACGACGAGCACGGGTCCCGGTCGGACATTTCCGACTGGAGCTCTCCAAACCCCGTCACTCGAGTCATCAAGGTAACACTACCGACCCCCTCTATTTCTTTATAATCATTTCATACATCCATACACTCATTCATTCCATACGCCCGTATCCCTCGGACGATTCAGGCCCTGAACCGCCCAGGGGCCTAGGAACTAAGCATCGCACATGCAGCAAAATGCATCACAACGCTCTGTGTTGCGTCACAAAACGGCAGTTGCCTCATTCGACATGAGCAACGACTGACCGGGGTTCAAAGGCCGGCCCATGAAGGGCTCAAGGCCGCCCCACGTCAAACAAAGCTAGGGGAGAAAAACGCAGATGAGCTCCGTGCGGCCGTCGCCCGGTCTGCCCCGAAGCAGACAGAGTCATCTCAACCTTCTTGTTCGATCTTGAACCTCTTGCCAAGCCCATAGAATCTCCATCGAGGGGAGGCTGTTAGGCCACCCGGGTCAGTCTTTGGAACGACCCAGGCATCTACCGGGTTGTAGGTAAAGGAGCAGTGGAATGTCACAAGAGGGCTATGCCGACCCCGTCACGAATGATGGACCCGGATTACACTCGATCATACCTATTAGTGAACTCGTCGAGTGCGTCACTCGAGCCCAAGCGATCGAGACAAGGGACAAAACTCAGCCCCTCTGGTTGTGAGAAATCGAGGACGGGGTAACGCACACAACTCAAACCAACCCCTACCAAAGCCCAACGGGGCTCGGGGGCTCAAGACATTCAAAAAACATGGGTCTATGACCCCGAACTCGCCCCATCCGGCTACGCTTCGACTACACACCAAACGCCTGGGTCTGCGACCCTGAACTCACCCCATTCGGCTACGCTTCGACTGCACACCAAATGCCCGGGTCTGCGACCCCGAACTCACCCCATCCGGCTACGCTTTGACTGCACACCAAACGCCTGCGTCTGCGACCCCAAACTCGCCCCATCAGGATCCACGAGCCCCAGCTTGCCCGATCCCTAAACTAACTAACTAAACTGCCTCGGCTGCACGGGCTGCACTGAGGCCAGTATCCACGACACCAACTCACTCGGTCCCATGGCATGCAACGACGCCAGGACCCGCGAGCTCCGTCTCGTCTGATCCCTAAACTAACTGCCTCGCCCGATCCCACGACGCGCACTGATGCCAGGATCCACGAGCTCTACCTCACCCGATCCCAAATCTAAAAACACCTCGGCTGCGCAACGACACCTTGGTTAACGACTCCATCTCGACTAAAAACCCCGCACACACGCCCGCTAACAAACACCCCGACGATTACGCCTGAATGCCGGGGCCTCGGGTTACACCATGGCAAAGTGCGCTTCGTCTTGCCGACCGACGAAATGAAAACCTCCCCCGCTGGCAACACGAAAAAACCCCCCGGACGATTCTGCCCGAATCGCCCGAGGGCTCAGGGGCTACACCCGTGGGTGCGCTCGCGCGCACCCGCCGTCAAGACAAAAAAATCCCCAGACGATTTTGCCTGAATCGCCGAGGGCTCGGGGGCTCCTGTTGGGTTCATAAACCCGGGGTCCCTCGCGGACCGCCTTCCCAATGAAGGCTTGCCCCAAGCAGACAACGTGCAACTCATGGGCCGGCCCAAGTATCTGAACAACAGGCTAGAAGGGCGATCCAATCACCGACCGGAAGGTCTGGCCGAGGAGGAGCGACGCCCGTTTTCTGACTTTGGCCCACCTCTCCAACCGGAGGGCTCACTTCGGTCTCTAGCCCGCCTCGGATGGCCTCTTCAATCGGAAGGCCTAGCCAAAGCACTACTTCCGACTCACCCCCACGTCTCCGACCGAGGGAATGCAAAAACCCTGCTCACTGCTCGTCTCCGATTGGTGCGATCAGAACCGACTGGGACCAACCGACCGGGGACGCCCGCTCGGAAAGGACCGGGGAACGAACGGAGAAAGTAAGGCAGGGCGCACAAATCAAATCACGATACCAGGGACCGTACCCTGTACACCTACAGAAACAGTATTCTACAACCTTCCTGACAAATAGTGTTGTAGGCGCCGACATTTTCCTCTATAGTATTGTGGGCGCCATTAACTCCCATACAGTAAAGCCCACCATATGCCTCTTGGCATCGATAGTGTTGTGGGCGCCAGCTTTTACCGTACCGGACGAACATGGTAAAAACCCCTCGCATGCCTCAGGTATCAACAGTGTGGCAGGCGTCGATGTCTGCCATGCCCGAAGAAGACAACACCACCTCCCATGTGCATCTGACATTCAACAGTATTGTGGGCGCCTACCATCATCCTGTACCGTCGGCGTGGGTAGCATGGCTCAGAAGCATACGTACTCTCTCCCCTCACTTGTAAGGCCATCCCCTTCATCTATAAAAGGGGATGCGCTCTCTCCCAACATTCAAGTGATTCCAGATTCATTAGATTGATCAAGTTCACTAGTTTACAACCACAGAATCGTCAGATTCGAACCTCAAGCACACGCTTGGACACTTAGCTCACAGCGGAGCTCCTGTCGCTCTCAGCCCTTCCGACTGGAGTCCGACCGGGCCTCTTGTACCCCCTATCTTTCTCCTTCTCGTTTGTAACCCCACTGCAAACTTCGAGCACCTGGGCTCAGGAATAAAGTCACCGACCGACTCAAACTGGACGTAGGATGCGTTGTCTGAACCAGTATAAACCCTGTGTCATTGAGTGCTAGGCCACCTCCGATCACAACGTACGGCAAAACTACAAATATTTACTTGTTGGTCACTTTCTGCACCGACAGTTATGATGAGATGTTGTTGTGATAAGTTGTTCTACCAAAAGTTATGCATAAAAGTTGTGAGTATAACTTTGTAACTTTTCAAAATTTAAGAATTATGAAAATAATTTTTTTAAAAGATCAAAAAAATTATGATAATAAGTTGTAGTGATAAGTTGTCACTTAAAAAGTTATGACTATAATTTTGTAACTTTCCAATAATGAAAAGTTATGAAAATATTTTTTTCTTAAAAAAGAATTAGTTGGACTGTGTTCATATGAATCTTCTATCTAATGTCCGCTTCTTCTTTCGTCATCTTGTCCTTCGCCGTGATCACCCTCTTCAAAATATCTTCTCCCTCATATCCTTCTCTTCTTCCATCATGTCCTTCTTCGTCGTGATCATCGCCATCTAGGTCTTCTTCCTCGTCTGAATCTTTCGAATTCGTTGTATCATAATCATCAATCTTGGCCTCCTCCCCTTTCTCCCACTCCTTATGCTCATATGTATTGTAACACCTTGTGTTTTGCATCATAATAAAATTTACTAAAATTTTAAACTTTTTAAATTTACAACAAATTAAAATCTTGACTATTTATTTTCAGTAAAAGAAACTAGTTTTTAAGTTTAGGGAGGAAATTAGACTGCTACAATAGTTTTTTGATCTTAACAGGCTCTTATGGCCCTGAATTGATAACCAAGTGCTCAGCCAAATTGCAAGCAACTAGAGTATCTACAAACTCTAGTAGGGGGTCCAACCATAAATTAGATTTTTTTTAATTGAAAACCAGAAAATAACCACTTTTTAGCCCATCTTGGTCAGTCTCACAGAAGTCACAGAATGCTAGGGCCTTGGGCCGTGAAATGGGCAGCCCGCACATAGGAAAAGAGCTCCATGCGTTGGCCCGTTCTCGGTCGAGAGGTTTCTACAGCCTTCCGTGGCCGCGGCGGCGCGGTGCCGCTCGATCGCACCCGCCCGACGTGGCGGCCCACTCTTCACCCCATTCGGCCGCTGTGGTCACGACCTAATAAAGCCCACCACGACTAGCCACCTCGCTGCAACCCCCTTCCCCTCCCCCAGTCGTCTCCCGAAGAATCCCCTTCCAAAACCCTCGCCGCAGCCGCCCTTTCTTCCGCACACTAGAGCCCGGGACCAGCCATCTATGGCGGCGTCGCTGCTCCTCCGGGCCGTGCGCCGAAGGGAGCTCGCGTCCCCTCTCGGATCCGTAAGCTCCATCATCTCTACCTTCCTCCTTCTCCGTGATTCCCTTTCATTCATTATTCGGCTAGCAGTTTCGTCGTTTGTAATATAGTGTTATAATGTTGATCCGGAGGAGGAATTGTTTGTGGGGACGAGTGATTGTAGATTAGATGGGATCTCACGTTCTCGTGGATTTGGCGCGGAGGGTAGATTAGTGCTTGTAGATTCGAAGCACTAGAGGGTATTAATGGATTAGTCCAGTTCTGAGTAGTTACTGGATTACTGCTGTGGTAGAACTTTAGTAGCCATGGGCTGCCGCGATTTGTGAGCAACTGTTCTTGTGCACATAGAATGGCTTACTTGGACATGGTGTTATCGCTCAAATTGTGGGTTGCTTCCCTGTGCAGGGGTTTCTTAGCATTAGTAGTGGTGTTATCTCAAATTCTCAATACTGTTGTGGAGTGAGCCATGAATAAATTGCCATTGTGCTATGGCCTGTCAGCTTTCTTTTTTCAGTGGATATATTCAGTTTTATTTGATTTATTTAGGGCCTGTTGCTAATAGGTGGATAGGTGGTTGGATAGTGAGTTCAAGGTGTATATGAACTATTAGTACCTATTAGCAACTCCAAACCAGCTAATGGAACTAATAGTAAGCAACTCCCTAGTTAATAATTAGCAGATTTATTAGCAGATCTGTTTGGATTCACTAGTACTAATTTTAGCTGCTAATTTTTAGTGCTAATGGATTCAAACAGGGGCTGTAAATAAGATACCAGCTTTTTCTGGAGATGAGATGACAGGAAAAAGCTGGTATCCTGTCATCATCATCTCCAGAAAAAGCTGGTATCTTGACATTTATCATGTACAATTCATCCACTGTCAAGATTATTATCTGGGAATCCAAACAGATCAGATTATTTCTGTCCAAAATTCAGATTCTCAAAATCTCTACTATCTAGATTCTTATAATCCCTCTAGGATTCAAACGGGCCCTAAGTCTCTAAATGTACTTGTTTCAGCTGGGCGCCAGCTTACAGTCAACATGTGCGGCCAACGTATGCTCAAAATGGGGAAATTTTGCAAGACCTTTTAGGTAATAACTATCACCTGCTTTAGTTCTTTAACATTTTTTTCTGACTTCAGTAATGCTAATTTGCATGATAACTGCTTTCAGTGCAAAAGCTGCTGGAAATGAGGTTATTGGGATTGATTTGGGGACAACTAACTCATGTGTTGCTGTTATGGAGGGAAAGGTGAGCTTAATCCTAAGGATTTTCGCCCTTTATGATCTTTGTCTCTCATATTTGTTTTTTTTTTTTTGCTAAATTAAGTAATTATATTAAATGACTGCAGAACCCAAAAGTTATTGAGAATGCTGAAGGTGCGAGAACAACGCCATCTGTTGTTGCATTTACTCAGAAGGGCGAAAGACTTGTTGGAACTCCAGCCAAGCGCCAGGCAGTAACCAACCCCCAGAATACTTTCTTTGGAACAAAGAGGATGATCGGGCGACGCTTTGATGATCCACAGACACAGAAAGAGATGAAGATGGTGCCATTCAAAATCGTGAAGGCTCCAAATGGTGATGCTTGGGTTGAAACAACAGATGGGAAACAGTACTCACCAAGTCAGGTCGGTGCATTTGTGCTGACCAAGATGAAGGAGACAGCTGAATCTTATCTTGGCAAGTCTGTCTCAAAGGCAGTGATTACTGTTCCAGCTTATTTCAATGATGCTCAGCGTCAGGCCACAAAGGATGCTGGCCGAATTGCTTGCCTTGATGTTGAAAGGATCATCAATGAACCTACAGCAGCTGCTCTGTCCTATGGAATGAACAACAAGGAAGGCTTGATAGCGGTATTTGATCTTGGAGGAGGAACATTTGATATCTCCATTCTGGAGATCTCAAACGGAGTTTTTGAGGTATCTCTTCTTGACCTTCAAGACTAACTCATTGTGCAAACATTTTCTGAATTACACTCTGTTCTGATTTGATTCTATGTATTGCCACTCAGGTCAAAGCAACAAATGGTGATACTTTCTTGGGCGGTGAAGATTTTGACAACACACTACTTGAGTTCTTGGTGAGTGATTTCAAGAAAGCTGAGGGCATTGATCTGTCAAAGGATAGATTGGCCCTGCAAAGGCTTCGTGAAGCTGCTGAGAAGGCTAAGGTTGAACTTTCATCGACTTCTCAGACAGAAATCAATCTGCCATTCATAACAGCTGATGCTTCAGGGGCAAAACATTTGAACATCACACTGACAAGGTCGAAATTTGAATCTCTTGTACACAATCTGATTGAGAGAACTAGAGAGCCATGCAAGAACTGCTTGAAGGATGCCGGAATATCTACTAAAGAGGTGGATGAAGTACTTCTTGTTGGTGGAATGACTAGGGTTCCAAAGGTGCAGGAGGTAGTCTCTGAAATCTTTGGAAAGAGCCCAAGCAAAGGAGTCAACCCAGATGAAGCTGTGGCCATGGGTGCTGCCATTCAGGGTGGCATTCTCCGTGGAGATGTTAAGGAGCTTCTTCTTCTTGATGTTACTCCCCTGTCACTGGGTATTGAGACCCTCGGTGGTATCTTCACTAGATTGATCAACAGAAACACTACAATCCCTACAAAGAAAAGTCAGGTGAGTTGTCATACCTCTATTCTTTCTCAGGATGCAGTTTCATCTTGTTTGATTATCCCTTAACTTGCATGAGTGTATTTTTTCTTGACACGACACATATTTCACATCTGTTACTATTTTGGTATGGTCACAAAGTTGCAATGTTTGGTCTCATTCATTGTGTGTTGAGTTTCTGATACAGCCCCATATGAAAAGCTTCTTGCATGTTCATTTACGTGAAGTGTTTTATGAGCTTTCTTGCTAATCTCTACACTCACTGGGCATTCTGTTATTCTTGTGATTGTTTCCCTAGAAGATCTGATGTATTCATATAGGATTTTTTTCCTTCTTTTTCTACTTTGATTGATCTGATCAGATTCATGTAGCACTAGCGGTCTCCGCCTTATTTCTGTGGTGCTGCTTTGATCTGATCTTGGGCTTCAATTTTGCAGGTGTTCTCAACTGCTGCTGACAATCAGACCCAAGTGGGTATCCGTGTCTTGCAAGGTGAGCGTGAAATGGCTGCAGACAACAAAGTTCTTGGTGAATTTGATCTCGTGGGCATTCCGCCTGCCCCAAGAGGCTTGCCTCAGATTGAGGTTGCATTCGACATCGACGCCAATGGAATCGTGACCGTCTCAGCCAAAGATAAGGCTACCGGGAAGGAGCAGAACATCACCATCCGATCCTCGGGTGGGCTGTCCGAGGCTGACATCCAGAAGATGGTGCAAGAAGCTGAGCTTCATGCCCAGAAGGATCAGGAACGGAAAGCCCTCATTGACATCAGGAACAATGCGGACACCACTATCTACAGCATCGAGAAGAGTCTGGGAGAGTACAGGGACAAGATCCCGGCAGAGGTTGCATCCGAGATTGAGGCAGCCATCGCTGACCTCCGCCAGGAGATGGCCTCGGATGACATCGAGAAGATCAAGGCCAAGCTCGAGGCTGCCAACAAGGCTGTCTCGAAGATTGGACAGCACATGTCTGGTGGTGGCTCTGGCAGCTCGCAGTCAGGATCTGGACCTCAGGGTGGCGGCGACCAGGCGCCGGAGGCAGAGTATGAGGAGGTTAAGAAGTGAGGCTGCGGAAGGTGAAGGGAATTGTAGCGGCGTGTTTAGAAGCAGCTACTCTTTTTTGGGAACACAGATAGTCAGATGAGATGTCCTGTGTTGTAATAATCTTCGGATTTGTCCCCTCCTTGTTTTCTTCTCCTGCAGTGATAGGTCACGCGACATTGTCTGGTAGGTCATGGCCTTGGTGCATATGGGATATCCTTGCATATGACGCCTTGTTCGGGCTTCGATGCACGCGCACAGCGAAAACCATTGGCGAGTTTTGCTAATGCATTAAAGTATATTTGTTTCTATGTTTTGACTGTTGGTGATGCCTAAGTGTGGTAACCCAATTCAGACTCTTGGCAACGTTTTGAGGCACGCTGGGCACACTGCCAGCTCATTTGATGTCATTCGCAAGGTGTTCCTTTTAAATGAGCAGAAACGCAGTAGTGCTGTCACGTTTGATAAATTTGTTTACTGAAAAGTCACGCTGGCTATGGCCCTCGTTCACATGCAATGAAAATAGGAATTGAAGTGTTTAAAACGTTTTGCGTATTTCCGAGCAGTCGAACATGATCAAAATCATATCGCTTTCATGAAAAAATAAGGCTCAGAAGATAAAGCCAAAATCCCATAATCTTCTCTTATATATATATTATATACAACTAAAAAAATAAAACGTGGACACTTTTTTAGTGCGACAAAGTTTTAGGTCACCTTTCCCTCTCCTTGCGATCCCGCGGCTTCCATCGCTCGCAACTATCTGTGCAACCGCGCAACCTTGCCCACGTTTTGATTCCTGGCCAGCTCCCCTGCGCCTCTTTTATTTTCTTTCAAAAAAAAAGAAACCTCATCCCCGAGGGAGGGAGGGACGTGCCTGCGTTCTGAATCTCGCGATCCCTAATCTGGGTGCCGCCACAATCTCAACGCGTGCCCCTAGAACATCCACACCCGCCGCTCCGCCACTGTCGCGCCGCTGGCATCGAGATCGGACGCCGCAGGGAAGGCGCCCGTGTCGGCGGTTGGAGGCCACCTGCCGCAGCCGCTCCCGTCGCTGCCGCAGGCGGTGGGCTCTGCCTAGGAAGAGAGCCTTCTCCGCCGCGCTCACCTGGGATGAGATCGCCGAGGACTTCGCCGCCGCGTCTCCATCCGCTTCCAGGCGAGCACAATGGACCGACCCCGACCCTCGTGTTGCTGCAGGATTTGGCGGCGACAGATGTGGCGCAGTTCAAGGAGGATGGGATCTTGGTCATCGTCTTCGACTGAGACTTGCCCCTTGAGCCTATGTGTGTGATTGTTAGCCCTTGAATGTTTGTGTATTCATGCTTTTGCTTGACTCGTGAGTCCAAGCTTGGTTCCCTTAAACACTTGCATATATTGTGGATGTCTTGCTCCTGTGTGTGAAGACCCTATCCAAAAATCCTTGTCGGACATCTCTGCCCTTATCTTAAAGGTGATTCAGTGCAACGCTAACCTCTCGCTGCCTGAACCTCGGAGTCTTTTCCTTGCAAATCATTTCGTTGCTTTATCAACTGAATCTCTAAGTACTGTATCGGCTCTGTTCCTCGAATCTCGCTTGTTTAATCTCCAACTCTCTCAAGTCTCAGAATGTCTATCGGTCTTGATCTCATGTTGCTGCTCGGCAAGACCAAATCTCATATTACTCTTTTATCTAGTAATCTCCTTGGTAAAAACAAGGCATGAGTGGAAATTTTACGTCAGAGTCTCACGCTTAGTTGTCTTTATTAGTTAATTTATGTTTCTCATGTGCCATGTCTTTATTTGGGACCACCCCTTGTTGACTCATAACCTTGTGACTACCTTTGCTTGCTATCCCTCCTTTGCATAGTGCTGGTTCATACAACCTAATCTCTGCCACTTGGAATTTCACTTTGGTTGTGCGCTCGGTAATGGTGTTATGATTAGCAACTAACGGTGCCGTGATGAAACCGGGAGCCTCCTATGGCACGTGACACAAGGTTGTGCTGCTCGGCACGTGCTGGTATCAAGGTTTCTAGTCATGATCCATTATAAAACCACATCAATGTGTTATTCCTTGTGGGATTTTTTCTTGGTTATCTCTCTATATCCAATCGGAAGATCCATATCTCAGACCAGATGCAGTTGGACTTCTTTCTAAAGTCATCCAGAGGATAACCTTTGTAATACAGATCACCGACATAAACAATAGTAGACTACAAGAGGTGGTATACAAGTGACTCTACTTGACTGTCCCTATAATGACATCGGTCATCTAATGAGCAACTTGTGTCATCCCCGTTGGATAAAAAAGGTACACAATACTTAAAGTTGGACAAGTTATCAGTCGGATGATAAATGGACCAGGATATTATGTCATGTAATAGGTCACCTGGTGCTTATGAGCTTATGTCCAAATCTTGATCTTGATGTGCAAGATGATCATGCAGTCAAAAACCGATCTTCTTCGGTGTGACCCCTTCTCGGCTGACTTCCATGGCGACTGTTTGTTTGCGCATCCACTACAATTGTTGCCATAAAAAGGAAGTTTTGGAGCTTTTTTAAATGTTCGGAGACAACTAATTAGTTACCAGTAGGAAGGTTAATCTCCAGCTAGGTAACGACTCTTTGGTAGCCCTAAAGGCTATGCCTCACAGAACAATGTTAAGCAAATCTCCAGACCCTGTGTCGTCAAGTCAATTCCATCTTGGACAATCACACAGGTATTGCAAGATGTTGTATCAGCTAAGTAAAGAGTTAGAGAAAGCACGTCCCTAGTCTCGGTCAGCATCATTATGTATATGATGCTATCAAAGGATTTGTTCAGGACTCTATTTGATGAAGCCCAGGGGTAGTCAGAAATGGTTCCTTATCTTTGTAGGACTGTCCCTCCACGTGGAGTATGCATTGTGTCCCGCAAAAACAAACCACAAATCAAGTGCTTATGTATCATCGAGTTAGTGTCTAAATCAACGGTTGAGGTTGTTTCACCATGGACTTCATCCGGAGACTTGCCCAACGATCAAATGAGGGGATTCTACGGGAGGTACACCCCTATTACTGTTCATGATTGGTAGTTCCTGGCTTCTAGCAACTACGAACACTTGATTCACTCACTGGAGAGAGATAATGTATCGTAGATTTGTGGCCCAGATAAGTGATAGGATAATTAGAATTGATTATGGTTTTCTCCTACAATGTTGCTACCGATGCATACTGTTCCTGTATACCCTAAAAGACAGTTTGATTCATAACCCTGAAATTGTTTATATATTGCTAAACAACCATCAAGCAATAGTGAACCTTACAAAGCAGCAAATATGCTTCCCCACCTAGACATTATTAATTTGCAAAGCACTGTGACTTAAATCATTAATTTTTCTATGATCTGAACCTTTATATGATTTAATAATCATGAAGCATGAACTGTTAGTAGCATTCATGCTTATGTGACTAACTCTTGCAACCTGTAGCAGCTGCATCTATACATCATTATGCTTGCTATCCATTTCTAGATAATTTTTATAAGAATAAATTTTATCATGTCCTCTACAATTTGGATGTCGGCTTATCGGATCTGGAATTTTTCTTTCAGACATGGACGAACAGAAGAGATGCTTTCCTTTTCTCAAGTTAGTGATTATAGAGCATTGACAAGCTGACTCAATTGAGGTGAATATATATAGTGATCTGTCTTCATACTGTGTTGGTACCTGATTTGGAGTAAATATGTATTGAGATGTGTGAGCCTCAGTGATTCCATGTTGAAATTGCGTCTAGAACAAACAAGTTCTACTTTTTTAAGTTGGATATTTCTCTACGCTTAAAAATACTGAATACATATCAACTAGAGATGGATATAATTGGAGAATATAGACATGATCTAGGAGGAAAAAGGAACGAACTTGCTGTACTAGACACGATCTAGGAGGAAAGAGAATACCAGTTTGTGATATCTTTATGAAATCCCTGTAAATATATTATTTTCCATAGTAAGCGCATTGAGTTCCTTAGTTCCTATATTATAAATTAGCATCTGTTAAATCTGTAAATACCAAAAAAAACATGGGTACCACACATCCTTAGTAGTGATAGTCTGACACCCAATACCTTCAGTCACATTTTGTTTAGTAGTATAGTACGCATACATGTTGTTAAGGGGCCTTTTTCTTCCCATCATTTCCATAGGTTAAGTATATGCCTCTGTATGTCTGTATGCAGCAACCATTTTCTTCTTCAATGCCCATCACATGAAGATGGATTCAAGGTAGGTTCTATTTTCCACTTAAAAAGAATTCATTCACATTTGATTTCAGGAAATATGTTGTGAAGGAAGCAATGCAAATCTAAGGTAGTTCAATAACTGCCTTGACCTTTCTTTCTTCCTGTTTGCTGTATGGTATAAGACTAATTCCAATGACTCATTCAGATGAATAACTGTGCATGAGTTGGTTTCATCAAGGTGCCCACCCTTTTGCCAAATTCCCTTTTGGCTGCGCAAACAAAGTCATAGGAGTTGCACTTGTTGTGGTGAGGATCATGAGAGAATATATTTTTTGGGTTGATAGGAGTTGCATGTTGAAACGTTGATTCGAGAGATATTGGGCAAAGGCTTACCTTTCATTTTTTTTTAAAGACCCCCCCCCCTCAGGTGTATCTATATGTGAGCAAGTTTTGACCGAACAATAGCAGCTTGACAAAGACCTATTTTTAAAATGTATATATTTGTGTATGACTGCCTCTATGTTTTTCCAAAAAAAATCTGTACCTCAATGACTATTTCTCAAAAGAAAAAGAAATCTCTTTACTTCAATGACTGTCTCTATTTCTCAAGAAAATCAAGAGATCTAGAATCCTTCAAGCTGCACATGTTGTGTTGTGCTCAATAGCAGATGTTGTTTCAGTGTTCTTTTTTTAATATGCTATATATATTCTCTTATGAATGTTCAGTAGCATACCATAGCATTATTCTTATCTCAATGTCTGTGTTTGTGCAGGTTCTCCTCTTCTTTGTCTCATGCTACATCTCCTGTACCACATTTGGT